TAGGAAATCTTGACAAGGGGGCTAGAGAGCGCCCTCCTCTTTTTTGTCACAGATGCATAAATTACTTTAGCAAATAGAAGTAACCAAAAGTAAGTAGAGTGTGTTAAATAAATAATATCTTTGTTAAGCAATGGTTATTTAAATTCATTTTGTATTTGTTTTATTTTTATTTTTTTGACTTTATCTCTTTTAGTAATACAAAGGTGCATTATTTTTTTGAAATTTTTGTCTTAATATATGTCTCTACTTGTTGTATATATATATATATATATATATATATAATAAAGAGAGAAAGTATTGTTGATACTATTACAACCAAAACTTGCTACCTACTCAACATGTTTGGATATTCAAAAATTCTATTCAATAACTTTGTTGTGCCATAAATTAATCATAAAGTATGAATTCTAAACTAAATATAAATAAAAAAATCAACACACTCTAAGGAAAGATGATGAATCTACATACAAATAGGTCAAGTTATCTGGCCCACCACAAAAGGCAAATGCAAGGATACAAGAGTAAGTTTAAAAAATCCTAAAGCTTTACTAAATTGTCTAAATCACCATAGCCAAGCAAACCCTTATGACACAAGCTTTTATTCTCTAGAATCACACACAAGACTTAACTTAACAAGATTGTCAAGTCAAGAGCAAACAATATATTTACATAAGTTATAAAAATATTATTAGTATTTAAAAGATAATTTAAAATATATATATATATATATATATATTATAAATAAAATTAAAATATATATATTTTTAAAATTATAATGATTAAAAATTAAATTAAATAGTTAAAAATTAATCAAAAAAATATTAATCCAACATCTCGAATTCATATTGCTCCACCCTATGTGATCTCCACATGACTTAAATTGACTAAAAAGTGTACTTTGATGCTTTTCGGCAAGTTTATTAGCCCCATATTTATTTCTAATATTAATCTAAAAAATAATAATAATAATAATAACTTTTAATATTTTTTGAACCCAATAAATAATTAAATAAATTTCACAAACACAATTATTTTAGTAGCTTAAGAACTTGAAAAGTTATTTCAATTGCCATATAAATATTTGTATTTTTAATAGAAATCTAATTTTTAATGACAAACTAAAAATAATTAAAATATTTTATAGAAAAACTTACAAATAGAATATAATATGGCAAAAATAACACATTAAAGTTACAAATTAATTAAGATTGATTAATATGGTATATAAATAAATCAAATAAATGAATAGAATAGGAATTAAAACCAAGATATAAAATATTATAAAATAAGCCAAAGTTTTAGAAAATACAAGAAAGAAATATCAAAATATTATAAATTGCAAAAATTAAGTTTTTCTATAGATAAAGGATTTTGAATGAGATTTAAAAAAAATTACAAGTCAATGAATAATTGAAAATTTTCAATCAAGATATTCTAAGAAAGTAGTATTATGATATTTTCTTATACTACATGTGTAATAATAATTGATGATAAAAGTATTAACATAATAATTTCGTATTCCAAATGACAATAAATGTTCAAAAGAAATATTATTAAAATAGTTCAAATGTTAAAATAATTGTGTGTATTTTTTATTTTTTAAAATATTTTTAGACATTTTTAGATATTTTTACTTTTATAAGAAGTATAAGTGTTTCTTTGGCTTAAAGTATAAATTTTATATATTTTTTTATTCATACTATTTTTGTCTTTTAAATTTATTTTTTTAAAATATTAGCTCAAAATAATTTTTAAAATGTTTAGCTTATGATTTGAACTTTCTTATTTTATAAATTTTATAATATTTTTTATTAATTGATATGAGTCTTTGAATCATACATTAGATTGTAATATATTAAGCAAAATTTTATGGTTATAGTGGTTGATAATTCAATTTCATTTAAAATTAATATATTTATATTGATTTATCTAAATCATATTAAATCAGCTTAATTATTTTCAAAAATAGTTATAAATCCTATTATTATATTAAATAAACTTAAACCAATTTTAAAGTATTATATATATAGTATGTTTTCTATATATCTATTAATTTAATTTCTTTTTATTTATTATTATTTTATAAAATAAAATTAATAAGCTTTTATAAGAAAAGATATTTAGTATATCTTAAATAATTTAAAATATGTAATTGAACAAAAACAATACTACTAATAAGTCAATTAAATCGACAACCAAATAATCTCATGATTTTTATAGTAGATTAGATAAAAATTAAGTTAAATTTTATTTTCTCTTGCGATTAAAGTAGATCTATTATTAATATTTTTTTTTAATTTTATGTTATTTTTTTAATCATACATATTTTTATTTATTTTATAATTTTAATTTTAATAATAGATATATTCTATCACTTCTATCTATCTTAAATATTTGATATGTTGAAATTGGTAGAAGTATGCACACTTGTAGTATCAAATCAAAATAATTATATAGATAGAATTAAACCTAAGTTAATATGCTTGGGCTTAATGTGCAACATTACTATTTCTTGTGAAGATAAGTACAAATAGATAGATAGATTGATAGATAGATAATGAGATAGCTATAAAAAAAAACTTTATTATAATTTAACATAAAATTAAAAAATAAATGAATAAAACTTTCAAATTAGACAAAGTATATTTTATGTTAAATTATAATAAAGTTTTTCTTATAGCTATCTCATTATCTATCTATCAATCTATCTATTTATGATATATATATTTATTTATATAGATACTTGTTAAAGCCACACCTCCCAATCCATCTCATAATCTATTTGTGCATGTCTCTTGTCTTCAATACCATTCCCAAACTTGTTCTTTTCTACCATCCCCACCTTATTCCAACTCCACACATTTCTTTGTGTACATGTTTAAGGATGGTGGTGTGGAATAATTAGGATTTAGTAGGTTTTCTAAGGTGTAAGAGTGGATATGGTAATCAAATGCAATAGAAATGTTGAGTGAAAATTAATTTAAAAATTAAATAAAATATTTAGGTATTCATTCTTTTCATTCAAAATGTTTAGAAAGAATACGACTCTTGTACATGTTTTGTGTGACAATCTTTTTTTCAGCATGAACTTTTGGCTAGTGTAAGAAAAAAGAACATAAATATGAAATTTTATTTATTTATTGATATACATAATTGAGATTTAATCAAAGATATTATCATAATAAGCCATGTGCATAATGCATTGGAATAGTTGTTGCTGGAGGGGAGGTTCTTTTAGTAAAGTACACAATGATGAGGCTTTTTTCCATTGTCTATCTTGGCAATTACATTCTTTACAATTTGTTTACTAATTATGGTGTCTCCCTAGCTTTGACTCTAATCTTGCTTGTACTTGCAGTTTAAACTCTCTTTGGCTTTGTGACTTGCACTTTTGTTGATTTTTAGATAAACATTGATTTCTAGGCAACAACCATCTATATATAAATCTCTTTATAAAACACATGGTTGAATGACTTAGCACAATTTTTGCTTTCTTATGATTAAACTTTAAAAGTAATTCTTTGAAAAAAATTAACTAATTTTTTACATATTTTTTGTAGCAACAATATAGGTTCAACTAGTTTTTTTTAAGATGAATTATCATATTGTAATTTTATAACTTAGACAAAAAAAAATAGAAATTTATTGTGACACTTAATACAATGTTTTTTTTTAAACCAAGGTATTCTATTCCTTAGTCAAGCATTGATTTGAAATTGTGACACATACAATAGGTCGAGTAAATTACCAATTTTCTTAAAATATGATGCATTACTAAAGTTGCACATGACTTAGTAGAAGTTTATCAACTTTAAACAGAAAGTCACAATCAATTATCAATTGTGCAAGATAGAAAACATGATTGACCATGTCCATCCTATCAAATTTTGGACTTACTAAACAGCATCCAACGCCCATCATATGCTTTCAAAAGACATCTATCCTCAACCATTTTCTTCCCTGCAGTTCATTTCTAATTTGAATAGTTTAACATGGAAAAGGAACAGTGCAAAAAGGGGGATCAGTAAGAGAATTCAACAAAATTCAAAACTGCCTCAATATTGTTGCCATGTTGGCAATGGATTACATGGAAGCCTTGTTATAATATAGGATCTCAATAACTATCGTGTCCCAATCTTAAGACACCTCTGTTTCATGAAAAAGTTTAAACTATGCTTGAATTATTTATAGACATATGGAGAGGATGTGAAGAATACAACTTTTCTCCCCCCTAACAAGCTATCTCTAAAAAACAAACGAACCCAAAAGTGACCCCCTTATTCAAGTCGGTGTTCTTTAAGAGATTCTCCATTGGCATCCTTCTCTGACGACTACTAAGTAGTAATGTAGAAGTAGTTCAAAAGGTCAAATAGGGTTTACATGGTGTTTCCAGAAGTGACAACTATCAATATACGGCATTCCGTTTCTGATTTGTTCACATGCACAATCCTGAACCGCATGAAAAAGATGGATCGAGGCATGATTTAGTGATGGACGAAGGGAATGGGTACACGAGAAAGCAATTACAACTCAGCTTGGTGAAAGGCGATGGACCCAGTCAATTGGGCTGGGGCCAAACATCCCCTAAAACGGGACCATGGTAATTGTTCTTCTTCATTGTATGAATTGATCTCGGGTAATCTTAACAAATAGTTTGATGTGCCCGCGCCTGCGGCCTACCGAGAAAATCGGCACCCGTGGCCGAGGGGAGCAGAGACCAAAGGGCCCTTGGCCGAAGAGAGTCCATTGGGCCTACTTATAATGTACTTCTAAAATAGAAAAATTCCTAAAATCAAATGAACATGTGAGAGTTGCTAGCTACCTATTCACGTCCTGTGAACAGCATCCAGGAGCTATTCTGCAGTTGAGTTGAAAGACGCCAGTCTGCCAACTGTTGTCGAAGAAAAGCATAGACATCGTCAAGGTCCATGGACATGGATGAACCAACACGAGACAAGTATTCTTTTGTGCACTAAACAGGTTACAAAGTTTGTAATTCAAGAATGCGCAAAATGGCGTTACAAGGACAGCTCAGCATCACGCACATGTTTGTACATCAAACTACATGATTACTCGGATCGAATTCAACAAATTCATCTACTACAGGATCTGCCGAAACTCTAAAGGTGTAAACTCTAAGCACATGGAATTTTCAGAAAGTAATTACAGGTATGTACTAGGTATCGACCCCATCTAAAATTCCATGCCTGGATGTCAACTGCAAAATCTTAAAAGTACAGTCCCTGACTGCTTTATTGTTACGCAGACAGCAGTGGGAAGGATTAGAAAAATCTACGCTCATACTGTTCTAAGATTCATCGTTTCAATATGGACACGAATACTGAAGAGATAGTACATCATGATAGCATAGACACTTCAAAGTTCGTGAACTTATGAATTAACCCTTCGCCATTGCAGTGAAACCGTTGGAGACTGGTTTTAGAGTTGGTAATCTTGGCTACTTCTGCGACTGCTTCTGCCATTTCCTCATCTGTTAGCTCTTCCTCTTCATCATCACTGTCACTGTCCTCAGTCCAGCTTCCACCTGAAACAAGGGGTGGATTGGCTTAGCTGATACACTGAGCAGACAACTGAATGAACGTTGGTCAATCGTTTCTTACTTGTCTACAGTATTAAACAGGAACAGAAAACGACTGCTGCAAACAGGACAGCTGAAAGAAACTACGGACAAAGAAATACCTGTAGAGCACACTATGTCGGCAGAGACGATTTCCCCAGTGTATGGAAAGTGCACAGGAGTCCCTCTCGAAGGTACTGAGTGACGAATGATGAAATCTCCATCCAAACTACATCGCAAGATACCATCAACACCAGTGACAGTCACACCGCGCACCTCCTCGGGCATGCCGCCATTTTCCTGAATCAACTTCAATACCAATCTTTTCGGCACGACAGCAATTACACCAGAGGTAGTAACGTTGGCACCTATTTCTTGACCGTTGCGGAAAACCTCGAACGCGGTGTCGTCGTCATGAATGATACAGCTGGTCCGCAAAATTGCACTCTGGACACCGCGGTAAGTCAGCACCAAGTCTTTGTGGCCAAACCCTTTCACGATCTTCCGGAGCTCAGAAAGCTTGCTAGCATTAGATTTGCCTTGGAAGAAAAGATGGAATCTGCGAATGGGACACAAAAAGATAAGAAACACGTAACATGTGCTCCTAAGCCAATGGGAAAAGATCAGAGCATGGTTAGACACAACTGCTACTCTCAGCAAAACTTAAAATGCACATCGTGTGCAGTCGGGTCACTGGGTATCATAAGAGTCACCAAGCCGAGAATCTTCACGTACGGGAAGAAAAAAAAAAAAAAAAAAAAAAAAATCGTTCACTTCTCTTTGGGGACCAGAACATTGCTTAGTGGAGTAACTGTTGGAGGAAGCTTAAGGAGAAACCAAAAACAGGAGGAAACAAGATAAACTGAACGTACGGGTCCACAATGGTCACATCTCCTGAGAAATGAAGACTAGTGAGGGAGTCGAGCGGAGCAGCCTTCAATGAATCGGTCACATTCAAGCGCCAGTTTTCCACTTCCACAGCCTTTGCAAAGCCATTCTCTGCCGCTCGCCATGCCCACAACGTATCCCGGGAACATAATTCTTGGTAGTGCTTATTCACCTACACGTTTCGGATGCAACTTAGATTAGTAAGCACGTAACAGGTTAAGACGATCCTCTAAGACACAATCTCCTACAGACTTGTAAACACACCGTTTCATAATTTTAAAACACGCATAGCCGCGGTCTCGAACACCAGCGAACCCAAGCCTCAACTACACTACATCAATGAATTACAAGCAAGGAAGCATATTACAGGACCGAGCTCAATGAGTAGAATTTTTCTGTAAAATGTGTTGAAGCGCATCTGCGAGAGGTCTAAAGATTTCAGCTGAGAAAACCATTTCCACAAATTCCCCGACGATACAATAAACACCAAATTTATACTACTCTGATGTTCGGTAAGCACCTGAGCCAGCCGGCACAGGTCGGACGCGGACAACGACCGAGTGATTCGCTCGAGAAGGCAGAGCTCCAACGTATCCCATCCTCCTGACATTTTTCGGGCTGGCTCAACAAGCGTGTCAGACTTCTTCGGAGTGCCTGGTTCGAAAGAATCAAGCTCACTACATTCTCCGGCGGTTGAACTCGTCCCTCCTGTCTTGTCGTTGACAGGTTTTTCAAACGCTCGTTCCCCTGAGGCGCGAACCCTTTTACTCCGGGGAGCTTCATCGTCCATTTCTCTACTTCTAATAGATGACCGAAATGCTTGGTTACATGAGGTAACCAGAGAAGCCATAGTCTCAGCCAAGATAGGCATATCTTTCATACCCCCGCTAACGAACACGGGAAATCGACCCCGCCAATAGAATTCACAAATTTGGTTGCACTAAGTCCCTAGGCCTTCTCTCAGGAAAGAAAAAAAAAAAAAAATCCCCCAGCGCCAGGCCACTCCACTTCCAATCCAAGACCGTCCTAAAACAACACCGAAATGCTCTTCGTAAAACTCCGAATTCCACCTCAACGCCTATCTGATGTCAACTTCAAGCGAAATTCTCAGCGACTTCAAACAACGCTCCTCAATATTCAGCAACAACCTCAAATCGCAAATACACCGAAACAGCCTAAAAAACCAGAACTAGTCTTGCACTCGCGTCACTGACATCAACCAAGCACGCTTGGAATGTGTTCACAAAGACCAGTCGTGTACCAGGCTTCGAAGGGGCTCAATAACTGCGAAGGGGAGACGTTGAAGCTTGCGGCAAGGAGAAGAATGGACGCTTCAAGGGAGGGGTGCAAAGGTACTTATGGGCTGAAGGAAAGCTTCAAAACAGCAAACTATGGCAGGCAGAAGAGGCCTCATTTGAATCGTACCAATTGGAATAGTATGTGTATGTGCGGGGGTGGGCCCGGTTCGGGGTCTACATCATCCAGATATGCCCAGATTCATTAATGGGCTTTTCTTTTACTATAATAATATTTCCTTTCCACTTTTTCCTACCATCGGCTTACTTTTTCTTTTCCTGTTAACTCTATTTTAAGTAACCAACCTTTAGTTTACATATATAGTTCTGATGACGTGGATTACTAGCTTTCCATACCACTGAGGCTGGAGTTCGATTAACGCTTTAACTTCACATTCATCCTCAATCACGGATGGATGAATTATGAGAATGAGAAGATGGTCCCTTGGTCTATTATGACTTCGTTGTTCATCCTCCCCATTCATTCTTTATTATTCGTTCCCTTCTTTATGTTTATTTCTGTCTCCTTTCATGTATGTGAGGGCACATGTCGATATCTTTGCAGTAAGTTTAACAAACGTAAAAACATTAAGTCATAATTTTATAGAACGTATCCGTGCTCACTCCACCAAATTATTATTCCGTTAAGGATTGAAGCCCTTTTGTATAATATTACTATTATTATTAATATGATTATGTTATTTTAAATATATCAAGCATTGGTTTGTTTTATGGTAAATTACATAAAAAGGAAGGTGTGAGTGATTTAAGTATAACCCATTCCATTCCATTCAAGAATAAAATTGTTTGCATGTCAGAACCAACTCTATCATTCACTTTATTTTGACCCAAAAAATAAAAATGAATAATGAACTTGATTCTGACATGTAAACAACTGTAGGAACGTACAAACACCCTGTTAAAATCAGGTCTACTATATTATAAAAAACGAGTATACATTTACAGTAATTCCACAAACATAGATCACAGCAAAGTCATGCTTGAAAAATGAGACGTTATTCCTTTACTGTAAACGTCAAATCTATAGAAACTTGTTGAACATCTACAAAAACAAGACAATCTCTGACACTCACACAGTAATGAAATCAGGAAGGTAACTAATCAAACGAAACACATTAAACAAGAATAGTTCGTCGTAAAAATTTAACAAAATACATATATATATATATATAAAAGCTCATTAGTAGCCTCTACAAATGCAATAAAGGGCCACAATTTCACGCATATGTTTTTTTCCCACATCCATCAAATGAATGAAATCGTATATTCATCCGTAATTCGAATTCTAAACCTCCGCGCTTGCCAGGGAGGGCACCTCCTCACCTATCATTCAAAACAAGCTCAAAAGCGAAGAGCCCGTCCAGTTAACGATGATAGATGGACAGATTGCGGATGAATGACGCTTCCATACTACTAAGAATCAGTTTCAATTCGTTCAATGGACGGATGAATTAATGGATGAATGAACGGGTGAATAGGTGGGTGAATGAATGCATGGGCTTGAAGGGGGAAAAGGCAATGACCAAAATGGAGGGAGGCGGGTTTAGGGTATCCCTACATCCAGAATCTGTGCCCCAATACCGTGTGGGAGGTAGGTCTGGATTGGATTCGGCAGTGGATGTTTCTCAAATATGGCTGCTGCTGCCCACTGTTTGAAGATACTGCTTCTGCTGACCCTGCTGCATGATACTATAAGGGGCCCCCATTAACTATGCACTTACTCCCTTTAGGGTCTTCGGCCGGGGGGGGGGGGGTGCAAAACCCAAAAAGCTATACAAGATTAAAAATATTAAAAAAAAGTCGACCGTCCACATCATCCTTTATTTATTACACTGTTATTGGAACCCATTTTATTGTAATTAATGTGGGCAGCAGCTTGTTGTTGGAGTTCTGAATCCAGAACACAGATTATTGATTTGAACTTTTGCTTTAGCCAATTGCAGAGTCCAGCGGGGTTCCATGGTTGACACGTGTTTGATGTAGGGTGAGTTTGTTAATTGGGGATGCTGTTGTTATTTTTGAAACAAAATTTGTGTTTAAGTACGTGCAAAGTGATTTTTGTGAATAATAGTAAATCTTCCTTTTAGCAATAAAAGTAAAAGATGAACCTTTCCTCCATTCAATAATAGCAATGTTTAATTCAAAAATGTCACGTTGAAAGATAAATATCTTTTCTTTTTCCTTTTTTTGCCATTTTAGTGAAGAAACATTAAAGTATGCGGCGTGCTCTTTATTTTTCTTAAGACATTTTTCGAATGGAGGCAACTAGGTTACCCACTCTTAACTATTTAAATTTTTCATTTATAAGTGGAACTACCAAATGTGTTAAAAAATAGAATAAATCGTAATGATTCTCTTGTAATATTCATATTTCAGGAGCAACTTAAAATGTATTCAGAAGATAGCAATAAACACTGTGGCAAGTCGCAATTACTTTAAAAACTATATGAATATAATCATTGTTTTCGAAGGGTACCCAAATCAATTACATTTTGCAAAATCTGACACATTTTATTTCCAGATCACTGCTATTATTAATGCAAAAAATGTTTAATTATGTGAAATACTCAAATAAACAACACCGAATTGAACATGCGTAAAAAAATGAATAGTATAATAATTACTGATACTTGTAAAAAGTTATTTTTTTTCACAATAACCTCTAAGAATTAATATCAATAGTATATTGGTTATATGAACTTTACAAAATATACATTTAATCAATATTGATTTGCAAATTATTAGTTTTGAATTGAAATGTTTAGATGGTTCCAAAAACGAATGAAATATCAAAAACCAGTCGCATTTTAACAGTTATACTTTGATTGATAATTTTTAAAATAGAAACAGGAGATTAACGATGCATGTGGTTATATTTTTAAGTGCTAAATTCATTCAAATTGGTTGTTTAATAAAGAGAATCATTGTTTTGTATCCCTTTTTTTTTGCTCCCTATTTACTTCTAATTCTAATTTTTGATATGTTGTGTTCCTTCAATGAAAGAATCAACCACAGTAATTGACAATTTTATGTATGAAAAGAAAGTATGGATATTAGGAAATAATATATATAGAGTGTGCACGAATGTAACTTATCCTCCGAAATAAGATTATACTTATTTAGTGAAAATAACTTGTCCTCCGGAATATAACTCATGAAGATGGGCCATGGTATCGGTTACATATTTATAGCGATTTCAATTATAGGGGAATTGTTATTTCAGTTATTTTTCTAAATTTCATTTGTATTTTCGTCTACTAATTCATAGCTTACTTATTTTGCATACTCTTCGATATTCAAAAACATCTTTGTGATTACACTGTTGATTTGGACTTGTTATCTTAAGGACAAAACTTTGCTCCATGCCAATGTATTCACAATTAAGCCTCGTCTAAGCAAAATGAGCACTTTGTATATATATATATATATATATATATTAAGAAGAAATATTAGTAGAATTTTAAAAATGAATTTCGTATCATTTATTGGTATTACTTAGATTCATATTACGTATATTTGGTGATCTTTTGATTGGGTTCTTTAAAAAACTATTTATGTTTGGATTACATTGTTTTTTACTCATATATGTATATATATATATATATATATATATATATAACATGTTGAATGCAAATACCACCATGTCATGTGATATGACATGGGGTGCCAAATCTCATCAAATGTATGTAGTTTAGTTTGATTAGTGGTTTTTCATCCATTGAAATTTTTCTATTAGTTGACTTGTTAATGTCAACTTGGATTTAAATACTTAGGTGGAGAAAAACCACTAACTTGACATTCTTATCAAGTCAAGTCTTGTGAGTGATTTTTAGAGAGAGAACTTGTTGTAAGAGTTTGCTTAGCTATAGTGATTTAGCTATTTTAGTAAAATGTTAGGGTTTTCTCTATTCTTCACACTTGTACCCTTGGATTCTCACTTTGTGGTGTGAGAGTTAGCTTGACTTAGTTGTTTGTAAAATTTTAATCTTTCCTTGAAAGTGTGTTGGTTGTGCATTTGTATTTGGTTTAGATTACATACTTTATGATTGGTTTGTAGTAATTGATGTGTTGTGTGTAATGATCTTTGTTTATACAACAACCAAGTAATGTTATTTGATTTGATTCATGTTATAAACAATATGGCAAGTTCTAATGAGAAAACATGTTTTTAAATCATTTGGTCACACTTCCTAAATATGTTAACTTTCATTTCAACATCCATAAACAAAATTTATTTCTGTCTGATTAATTTAAAAGATAGTTTAATAGCTATATTTGAGATCTTTATCTGTTCAAATAGAAGAGTTGGAATCACGTGAAAAAAAGACAAAAAATAAACCAACATTAAAAAATGATTAATTTAGTAAAAAATTTGTTTTTTTCTCACTTTTATATATTTTTCCGATCTAAAGTTTTCATTAGTAGAATCGCTCATACAGCATATTATCTAAAAATTCTTGTACGACCAAAATCATATAATAATAATATATAAATTTGTAACTTTACATATACTTTGCAATTCATACTCCATTGTCTTCCTTTTGCAAATTTAATAGTTTTTAATGTGTTTATACACATCCTGTCCAAAAGATATGTTCAACAGCTTACATGAGAAAATATTCTTTTTGAAATTCTCAGATTTCACAAGACAGAAGAAATATATGTATATATATTTATATATATACACACACATACATATAAATTCAAAATAATGCAACAATGTGATATCACATGAATGTTTGTACATGTAAAAGGATTTGTACATGCTTGATAAAATTAATAAAACCAATGACTTTTAACAAGGTTAGGTGTATTTTTCAAAAACAAGTGAACTATCTAAAAGAGCTATACATCCCATGTGGCAATTTGTGGTGTCATAGTTACATATGCCATTTTAATATAATTAAGTAGTATTTTAAATATTATAATTTAATTCACACAAAACACTTCAAACTTATAGAACATACATCAAAAGTATTTATTGTAATTCTTTTAATTGGTGTTTACTACACAAATAAATACGTAGTGAATCATTTTTGGAGCAAAACCAATACTACTATTAAATATATGTCAAA